TATTTCACGGGAAAAATGTTATCCGACTTTAACCGATAAATAAAAGGGAATTGTTTTTATCAGGTAACATACCCTAAGATCATCTTCCTACACACACAAATTTATATGGGACTCACTTTAAATTTTTTCTCTTTTTCCTATTCTCTCTCCTCTCTCCTCCTTTTGTGAGAGTAGAAAATTTGCTTTTAGGTTATGTTACATAACAAAAGCAATTCCCTAAATAAAAACAAGAAAACATTTGACAAAACTGGTGTGTGTATATATACATGGATTAATGTTTTTTTGGGTATGCATAAATAAAAATATACGTCACTTATATTTTTTTTTTCTTTTCTCTTTATATGATTTCATATATTTTGATGTGTATGAAGGAGATAATTTTATTTTTTATAAGATAGAAATATTAGTTACGAGAAATGTTATATTTACAAACTTTTTGTTTACAAACTACACTAAGTATATGACCAATCATACTTAGTGTAATTTGTAAACGGATCATTCCCATATATATATATATATATATATATATATATATATATATATATATAACAAACTTTTACAAACCACACTAAGTATGACCAATCATACTTAGTGTAATTTGTAAACGGATCATTCCTATATATATATATATATATATATATATATATATATATATATAGGGCTTATCGTTTCTCAAGCTGATTGAGATAATCTTATCTCCTACTACTAAATCATAACCGTATAAAGATGGATCAATGGTGATAAAGGAAGAGAGAAAAAAAAGAAATCATAACCATTCAAAGGTGAATCAATTAATATAAAGAAATAAATAAATAAAACGACGTAGTTTTAGGGTAGACGGAGATAAACTTATCTCAAGCTGCTTGAGAAATATTTTTTTCCATATATATATATATATATATATATAATAGAGTTATATTGTACAAATTTTTTTTTTACAAACTTACAAACTATATTATGTCTGACCGGTAATACTCTACTCAAGAGTGTTTTACAGGTCAAACATAGTGTAGTTTGTAAACAAAAATTTTGTAAATATAATATTCTTTTTATATATATATATATGAGATTAATATTTATCATATTATAAGAAATAATTTTATCTCTTACGTATGCATAAAACTATATGGAATTTATGTTTTTTTATTTCTCTTTCTTTTTTCACATAGGCTCCACATATTTTTATGTGTATGTGAAAAATAATTTTATTTCCTATAATATGGAAAAAAAATATTCATCCATATATATATGGGTGTTATTAATCTCATGTTAAATGAAATAAGTTGTCTCATGTTATAGAGACAAATATGTGGGCCCCATTGTTTGTTAAAAAGTAAATAATAAAATGAAATTCAAGGACCCATCTTTTTATTTGTATAGAAGAGAAAAGTTGTTTCCTTTAACATGATAAAATATTTTTCATATATATATATATATATATATATATATATATTGATAATTCTTTACATAATTATAAGATCACGAGTTTAATTTTAACTATCTCATTTTTTAAAGGAATCAAGTCAGTATAAGGTATAACAAGAAAATAAAACTATAGATTTTGTATAATATCCATATTTTAAACTCAAAAAATTCTTGAGGGGGCGTTTGGTTCAGGAATTTTTTTTGGAATAGTAGGGAAATGAGATAAATAGAGAAATGATTGGAAAGATAGATAAAGTGAGATAGGTAGAAAAATGTAAAAAAAAGTTGTTTGGTGGGAAAAAACTTTACTGGGAAAATTAGGTAACTTTATGAAATCAACAGTGCATTAAAAGTCAGATAACCGATTTTCCGAAAAATCCCACCTTCAAATTGGGTTTCTAAACAGTGCGGATATCTATGTTTCTCATAAATCCAGACAAATTTGATAGATGGATTTTTGGTGAAAAACGTTGAAACAAACATGGTGTTTCTAAAAACCATACTTGAGAAAAATAGATATCCGCTCAAAAGCTCCCAACCAAACACCACCTAAATGAAAAAATGTGTTAAAAAAGTATAAAAATTATTAATGGAGGTTCCCTTGCCACTTTATCAATATAGTATTATACAATGTTGATATGATTATCCGGAGCGAGTAATTATCAGGAGGAACATGTTGATAGGCACGATGTCCTAGCAATCTAAGCCACACACTCAGCATTGGAACATGGGTCCAGCTGATTCCAGTATTGAGTGAGTTTTATAGTGTTTCTTATTGGAATGGGGACCTCCCTTAGATGCCTACTTTTTGTTTCCTTTCAATGTCATATTTTAGTTTGCTATCCTTGTACTTCTCTTCTCTGGCTGAGGATTGGCCATCCTTGGAAATGTGAGATCCCTCTAGCATTGTCAGATACAATTTCATGCTCTTATAGGCTGTAACCTAACATATTGTTTTGTGTCATCTTCAGTTTCATATGTTATCACACTTACCCTTTCCCTTCTATAGTTTATGTTTTTTTGGAAAAATAAATTTGATGTTAAATAGTTTTCATTAAAGCGATAATAATTACAATTCATCCTATGAAAATGATATGGGCAAATTCATATTAAATATAATTAATGATCTTGTTTATATTTCGAACAATACGTTAATTAATCAGAATTTTTTTATTGAAATTATGAATAATTAAAACATGACATTTAAGTTGGAGTAGTAATAGTTCAATTATTATGGTCATTTTATATTGAGTAATTAATGAATTCCCATAACTATTTATTCATAATAATCCTCTTAATCACTAAAAAAAGAAGTATTGAATATTTTTATTTTCTCAAGATATTATTAAATTTATCTATTTTTACATTTAATATTACTTTCTTTATTAAATATTAGAAATATTATATCAAGAAAATGTTTAAAGAAGATATAACAAAAGGTGTTTTGATTAGTTATTTTACAATAAAAGTGTTATATTTTTTCTTATATCACATTAATTATGATGTTAAATTTTAACTTAAATATTAACCAACAAAATAAGCGAATCGTTCGTGTCAAAAATTTTAATCCAATTTTAAATTCATGTCATATTTGTGTCATATCATGTCGTAAAGTGACGGAGTTAGCCCATTCACCGAGTTAGGGCTAACAAAAAATTTAGTTGAGGCTTAATATTCAATTTTATCCAAAAGTTTAGGCTCAATTATTTAGTCATATTTTAATTTTTAAAAACAAACTAAGACCAAAACCTCGTACACCACATAACTCTACGACTAGTGTGAGCTCGTGTTGACATGAATTGTTAATATGTTATAAGAGTGAATTCTTTCATATGAAAAATTAATTATGTGATCATGTTATTTGATCATAATCATTCTTTTAAAATTTATATATTTTTCATTTTCTTATTTCATCAATAATAAATAATTATAATCATATAATATGATCGCATAATCATTTTTTCACATAAAAAAATTCATCCCGAGATGTGATGTTGTACTCCCATTTGTTTTTCGGATTTGGTGTTTGCGATACAAGGCTGGGAAGGTAAGAAAGAGCAACGTCTTCAGATTCTCCTTCTCAAACTCAAAGGGACCAGTACAAGAGGGAATCTGTAATTTAGTCAAAAGTCAAGGGCACATTACATTATCCTCATTCCTTGTTCCTTAACCAAATAGCACCCACCAACCACTTATCATTTACTAATACACAAACAAAATAGAAAAATATGTATTGGATTGTATCTAGTAATTTAGGGTCTCTTTGATTTCTGTTTTCTAAAATAGTTTTTTAGTTTTCAGAAAAAAAAAAAAATTCGTTTGGTAAAATTTGTTTTGTAAAAAATATTTTAAAAATTATAACTGTTTTTTGTTTTTAAAATCAAATTTAGAGAATATGACCACTTATTTTTGTTTTCTGTTTTGGTTTTTAACTTTCAAAAAAAAAAAAAATATAAAAAATAACTGTTTCTATAACTATTTTACAAAACAGTTTTAAGAACAAAAAAATCAGAACAGAATCAAACAAATCTTTATTTTTTTAGATGAGTTATTTTGATCCCTTGCATAACCCACATTCGTGATAATTCACGGGTTAGCTCATCACGTTATTTTTTCTTTTATTTTGTGTTAGCGAATCAACTTCTTGATCAATTCACCTAACTCTCTTTTTCTTTTATTTAAATTAGTTGGCTTGCATAACTCACCAATTCATTTTTTTTTTTTGTAAGTTCTTAATGGATTGAAATCTTAATTAGTTAATTTGCTATAAAAGAAGATGAGTTGGATTTCTGTAACTTATTTTATAAAATGAGTCAACTATTTCATCTCATTTTTATATAGTGAGATAAATTAGATGATTTCATTCACATTGCTTCTAAATAAAAATAATAAGAAAATTCTAAATAGTAGCTCAGTTGACAATTGAGTTATCAAGAGTTTGTTTGAACCGGAAGTTCAAATTCTGTTTCAAATAAATTTTTAGGGGTTAGAAGACATGCCTTTCTCATCGAATGAGATTCACTCCGAACAAGATTTCCTCCCATAAAAGGTACCTATAATTTATCTAAAAAAAATCATATAATATTTTAAATCAAACTTTTTCCTCTTTATCTTTTTATTTTATTTTATCTATCTTTCAACTAAATATCGCTATCGAGTTGTGTTTATTGCATATAACTATGACTAATAACTGATGAACATGTGAACTATTTTTAAATATAAAAATAAATAAGACCTAATTTAATGGGGAATAGATTTTTTCATGTATTATTTAACATAACCATATCATATATGTGAAAGAATCATAACCATATAAAAATAAATCAATAATGATGAAGAAAGACAGAAAAAAATATTAAAATAAATAATTATAAAATTATCAGTGTTGATGTTAACTAACAGTCTAATCCATTATACACCAAATTTAATGGAATAGTTACAATTAACAAGCACTAATACATAGCCGGTTCACTAGTAAAGCGGTTCGGTCTAGTTGGACCGTAAGAAGATCACTGTACCACTCCACAGACAAAAACATAAAAAGAGTTGTTAGTATAGTAGCTAAGGCTAAGGTTGGCGTAGGTTGCAGAGTGCAACGTTGTTTGAGTTGTTCATTCCAATTTCCATGGCGCTTTCATGGCGACCCTTCATAATCTCACGCCTGAATGACGTTTCACTCCACTCTCTCCACCCTTCAAAACCTCCACCTCCTCCCTCCCTCCTCCGCCGCCGCCGTTGTTTCATCACAGCCTGCCTCGTCTCCGGCGTCGACGGCTTCTCCGACGATGTCGTTTCGACCCGAAAATCCACCTTCGACCGTGGTTTCACCGTCATCGCCAACATGCTGAAGCGCATCGAACCCCTTGATAACTCCGTCATCTCAAAGGGTGTCTCTGATTCCGCTAGAGACTCCATGAAGCAAACCATCTCCACCATGCTCGGATTGCTACCCTCCGATCAGTTCTCCGTCACCGTCACCGTTTCTAAGCACCCCCTCCATCGCCTTCTCGTCTCTTCAATCATCACCGGGTACTCAATTGAAAATTTTCTAGTTTCATTGCTTGGTTTATGTAAAGTTGAGATTTTTTTTTTTTTTTTGAATTGAACTTTAGGGGTTATTGGGTACTCAAAATTGAAAATTTTCTAGTTTCAGTGCTTGATTTTGGATTTTATTTGCAAATTGGATATTTTTTGTGTTTGAAGTTGATATTTTGTTTTTAATTAAACTTCTGGGGTTGCTGCTCAATTGAAAATTTTCCGGTTTCAGTGCTTGGTTTTTTATCTTCAATGCAAAGTTGAGATTTTGTTTTTTAATTGAACTTTTGGGGTTGGTGTCTTGGTTAGGTACACTCTTTGGAATGCGGAGTACAGGATGTCCCTGATGAGGAATTTTGATATATCGCCTTGTGGGGCTCAAAGGTCGAAGTTGGAAGCTAGTTCGGAGGTTTTGGAGGTGAAGGGTGGAGGAGAGGATGATGGGAAGATTGAGGTTGTTTCTGCTGATTTGGGGTTCAAGGATTTGGAAAGTTGCAGCCCGAGAGTGTTTGGAGATTTGCCTCCTCAGGCTCTTAGTTACATCCAGCAGTTGCAGTCTGAATTGACAAACGTGAAGGAGGTAACCCTCTTTTTTGTTTTTTGTTTAGTTCACTTTCTTGATGCAATAATTGTGGAATAGTTGCAGTTTTAAGAGTATATGACATGTTTGGTTATACTAAGGAGGTGCCTTAGTGGAATTTTGAGTTTGTGTTGGGTATCTATGAAGCACGATACTCCTCAAAAAAAATTCGAACTTATCGGAAACCTATTGTATCATATTGACGTATAGAGAACGCATTGCAAACGTATCGGAAACGCCGTGTCGGAATCGGTGCTTCATAGTTGGGGATATGGTTAAAAAAAAGACCTCACCTTTGTAAATTGTTTGCTGCTTATTTGTATGCCAAATAAGTTGAATTTGGAGTCAGTGTATTGGAATTTGGAACAAAGATCTCACCTTAACGGGTGAGCTGTTCTGAGAGCTTGTAAAATCTTTGCATCTTATGTGTTTGCCAAGTAGATTTGGCCCAGTATGGTTTCTGCTAATACTAACAGTAATCTTGGTTTAACTTCAATTGTATGATAAATGTGATTTTATATCTGAAGGGTATATGATTGGATGGACGAGTTTGGAGGAGATAAGTTTTCATTTTTAAATTGAGAAAATTATAAAATGTTTATAAAGCATGAATAATGGATAATTGGAACGTTCCATGATAACTCATTCTTATTTTCTCACTTTTGAAAATTTCTCAAATAAAGGGAATATTTACTTAAAATTGAAGAAAAAAGTTATCCTTCCTTCGTTTTCCCTCCAAACTATCCAAACAGACCCTCAACTAAAAGTATAGATAATGCGATTTGGCTTACACAGCCTTGAAAGTTATTTAGGGAAACAACACATAGGAAAATTCTTTCCGCAAGAATGAAAAGAAATGCCTCCTATGTCTTATTAAGGCTTAATGCCACATTATTATGGTGCCTTGCAATGGCCTAATGGTAAGGTGGCAACACTCCTGTTGTGTAGTCCAAAGATTGACTTTATTTTCGCCCTACTTAGTCTGTGCTCTCTAAGAAGTGGTTTCATTACTCATGAGATCATCTAAAAGGCAAGCTCAAAGAGTTAATGTGGGAATTTTATTTTTCTTTCAGGAGCTTAATGCCCAGAAGCAGGAAATAATGAAATTAGAATATGACAAAGGGAACCGGAACAATTTGTTGGAATATCTTCGGTCTCTGGATCCTGATATGGTAATGCCTCACAACTTATATTTAATTTATATTCCCTTGCAATTGAAAGTAGTGCTTTTAAGTTAAGATTGCAAAAAGTCCTGCCCTCCTCTTCTATTCATGTAGGTACTGAGTTTTGCTTTACTTTGTGAATCTTTTCATGAGTAACTTGTCTTGACAGGTGACTGAACTGTCTCGGCCTTCATCAATAGAAGTGGAGGATATAATTAACCAGCTTGTTCAGAACATATTGAGAAGATTCTTTGTGGATGATGCTAGCTCTAATTTTATGGAACAATCAGTAGCAGGAAACATAGACAATCACCCAGAAAGGGGTGATGGGTTTAGTGATACAGTAGGCACTTCCCGTGATTACCTAGCAAAGTTGCTTTTCTGGTTAGTACATCTCATTCTCATTGCCCTTCAAATTTTTTTGCATAGTTATACATATCCTCTAATTAATCATATACATGATCCTGAAATAGTGAATTTTGAGTAAATTTTTAGTGCTCGTGTAGTACATACTCCCCCACTAAAATTAGAAATATGTGGATTCATGTGGCATTAAAAACAAATAAGTGGATGGAATAAATGCAGATAGGTGAGTATGTGTTACTAATTTTAATAGGTGTAGCACTGAATACTCACTTCTATAGAAGTAGTGAAATTTTATCACTGAAATCTACACATAAGCACATATTTCTTTAGTCAGTTAAGTCCTTTTTTGTTGTGTAATGAAATTAAGGTTTTCTTTCCATTGGCAGGTGTATGTTATTGGGTCATCACTTGAGAGGGTTGGAAAACAGATTGCATTTGAGTTGTGTTGTTGGACTGTTGTAGAGAACAAAGTGTAAGGCATGTATATTCTTTTCTTTCCTCCTTTTTCTTTTTATTCCTCCCCCCCTCCCTATAAAATTTTGTCTATAATAACAGTAATACTATTCAATGAAAAACTGAACGTATGGAATAATCACGTTCACTCCTTGCTTTTAGCACTTTTTTTCTTGATTCATCATACCAAGCATTAAAGCATACCATATTATAAAATTCTGGTGCTGTGTTATGCACTTGCATGAATAATGTGGTTATGGAAAAGATATCATCACGCCATACATTTGAAGCAAGATTGGATGTAATTTAAAGTATTGTCATGATTATTAAAATTTGAGGATTGATATAACTTAATTCATTTTAGATACAAATTTAGTTTAGAGAAACTTAGAATGAGTTTATGGTACACTATTTCATTGAGAATTGGGAAACACTCACCCAAGTTTGTTTTATGTAGAATTTCTACGCGTTGTAAGCGAACTTGAGGACCAAATTTATTCCAATATCGTTATAAGTGTCATTGTTAGAATTGGAACCTTTGAAGCATATTCAAAATACGCCCTTCACGGCTTTTCAAGCTTTATATGTACTATTTCATACAAATTTAGGATAATTTTGCAATAGCATGGTAATAGCGTGCGTCCTACTGTTAGAACGTAAGAGCAACACCATAATTTAGGCCATCTAAGCTTCAAGCTTTAAAAAGAAAAAGAAAAAGGGTGTGTTTGAATGTGTTTTTATTTTTTTTTTGTTTTTAAAAACTGTTGTGAACATAAATTTTGAAAACTGACTGAGAGTAAAAGAAAAATAAAGCTTGTTAGTTTTAAAATTATAGAAAAATATTTTTACAGTTACTGCGTATAAGTTATCTGTATTTATTTTCAAAATGACGTCGTTTTGGGATTGAAAAATTAAAATATTATAATTATAAATATTATAACAACTCTGAAATAAATTAAAATTACAAAAATATCATAATTTTCATCTCAAAATGATGTTGTATTGAATTTGTTGCAGATGATTTATCTACGGTGAGAGCAGAAAAAGCGAACCCTTAAAATTATAAAGAAGTTGTAATTATTTATAAAAAACCATTAATGAAGTTTCATAATTATAATATTGCCTCTGCAAAATAATTTAAAATTAAAAAAATAAATTTATTTACCAAAATACCTTTAATGAATTCTTGTTTGAGTTCGTTTTTTCTACAGTCAATGTAGATAATTTATCTACAGTGAGCACAAAATGACATCGTTTTGAGGCGGAAATTAAGGTATTTTTGTAACTATAATTTATGTCAGGGTTATAATAGTCTTTTTCATTATAATTTTTAAATTTTTCAACCCAAAACGACGTCGTTTTGAAAGCGAATGTAGATAACTTATCTACGTTCACTTTTGAAACATTAAAGCCTTCTTGTATTTACAACAATGCCACCGCTAAAACAAACAAAAAAAACAAGAAATCAGCTCTTGAAAACATCCCCGGATTGTTTTGGTCTTTTAGTTTTTAAAACTAAAAAACAGATACTATTTTTAAAATTGATTCTACGAAACACTCTTGCAAAACAATTTTTTTTTTGTTTTATTATTTCTAAAATTAAAAAACTATTCTGCAAAACACAAATCAAACAGTTAAATTTCTAACTTAGCAACATGCAGTTCTGGACTTCTGGTTTATGCATCCTGAAATCATCTACCTGGAATTTGGACTTGTAATTTTTAAATTTTAACTAACTGAACGTAAATGAAGACACTAGTGTAGAAGATCTTATAGGATCATCCAATCAAGTTTTTGGATAGCGCACGTTATAACCATAAAAAATTAAACAAGCCATCATATTATGTTCATGGTCCATGTTTAATTGGTTCTACATAAGACTACCAAAGAAAAAAAGAAACCGGAGTCTGTATGTTACTCACTAAATATGGAAAATACCTAAGTTTGTATCCTCAGAAGATGTTGGCATACCACCCTTTGGCTTTATGGAAATCCGTTCAGATTCACAACTTTTACAATATATCAAAATAACATTGTTTAAATGTAACTCACATGCGTGTTGAGTATGATTCATATTTTGCATTCAAATAACAATTTTTGTTGATGGGATGAAAAAAAAAAAAAACCAACGGAGGGTCCCCCCTCTATTTTGTATTCAAATAACAATTTTTGTTGATGGGATGAAAAAAAAAAAAAAACCAACGGAGGGTCCCCCCTCTTTACTATTATGCGATCGTGTGTGTATTTGTGTTTGATTCCAACAATAGCATTAAAGAAGCAATTTTTTTTTTGGAAATATTCCATCGGTTCATCGCTTCGCGATTAGTCCGATTCGGGGCAGGTCCAGGATTAAGGCTTTAAAGAAGCGATTATATCTAAATGAATGAAGAATTAAATTTCAAGCATAACTAAAACTATCTTATGTCTCATTGTTCTCAGGGGTATGCCTCTCGCTTAAGGCTGTAAATGAGCTAGACCGGCCTAACCTATAGTAGACCAGACTTAGACTATTATAAATAGTAAAATAAAATAGGCTCAGACTTTTAAAAACAAAAACTATTTAGAAAATAGACCATAAGCTTTTTTATACTTGCCGGGCCTATAAACATACAAGCCGGCCTATCATATTATTTATTTTTAATAAAATAAATAAAAACATTAATTTAATAATTTTGAATAATAAAGTAATATTATTTTAGTTATTCTTTTAATTGTTGAATGTTTAATAGGCTTAAACTGGCTAATAGACCTAGGTCAAAGCTTTTATTTTTTAAATATAGGTCATGTCAAACTTATAATTTGAGGTCTACACAGACTAACAGGTCAGACTAAATTCAATTTTTTACACAGGTCTGGCCTATTTAAGCCAAAGCTTAGCCTAACCTAGCCTATTTACACTCCTACTCCCGGATTAACTTTCTTAATTTTTTTTTACCCTTTTGTTTTTTCTGTAATATCATATTAATGTTTTCCAAACCAATGCGTATAAAAAAAAATTCAACATTTGTCAACATTAGATAAACACTTTTAGGTAATATACTAATTTTTTTCATTTACAATGATTAAATATTGGAATTTATTTATGTGCGGAACAAAATTCATCTCAATTATACTTTGGTATGCCAACTTCATCCGTGCACAGACAACTTTGATAATTTTCAAATGTAGCATGTAATATACACTTTCTTTAGCCAATTACTACTTTAGCTTTTATTTTGCAGAACCAAAACATATTGGGCAATATCATGATGAATTGTTTGAATATTTTAGGCTTCAACATTCTATACCTGATTGTATGATCATTCTTGATCTTCAACACTTGTGTCTTCATTCTGCCTTAACATCCTCTAATAAATAATTATGTGCAATTGTGCATCAACATATTCCACATGATATTCTTTGTTACTTCATTATAAACATGTATGAACAAACAGTACAAAATCTTCTGATTGTTCTGTATATACACTCATTAAAAAAAATCTTGTTCAGTACAAATGAATCAGTATCAACCAAATTAAATTTGTAATTTGCTATAGTGATGAATCTGTTGTTCCCCTAGCAGTTCTCTGGTGGTGATGGTGGTGGTTATGATTTGTATGATCATGGGGAATGTAGAGATCATAAGGTACCCATAGATAGTCAACTGAACAAGGCTTTCTAGCATCAAGCCTTGTCCATGGCTTCCCTTTACCACTCCAATGCAACAAACTAACAGGACCAGGATGCAAAGTCCTGCAACTATTAGCAACATTATCCCCTCCAAGCCCATGTTGATTCCATCTATGTTCAATAGCCTCAACATCTCCACCAAAAACCATCAAGAAAGGAGGAAGGGAACCCAACTTATAAATCCTTCTTTCCTTCTGAATTTCCATCCATTTCTCAATCTTCCTTGTGTAATCACCCTCTCTCCACCTTACCAAGTCCATCACCATCACCCCAGTGTTGAAATAACAAGGCCTTTTTTCCCCTGCAAAGTTCTCAGAAAACTCAGAACTTGACCAAAATTCATAGGAAAAATATCTGGTGAAGTTTGCATGACAATATTCTGGAGCACCAATGACTCTTGACCCAGTCAGTGAAACCTTCCATAGCTCTTGAATATCATCAACAACTATAACATCAGAATCCAAATATATAACCCTTTCAACACAGTTCTCAAGCAATTCAGCCAGGTAAGTTCTTGCATAGTTCAATGGATTCTGAAGTGCTTGCCGTATTGAAGGAGATATGAGATTATCAACTAGACTTTCCCTGAACATATAAACTTTGAATCTGAGGCAAGGAAATGAGGACTTAACAATCCTTGCAAAATCATCCTTGCTCTCCAATCTTGCATCTGATGCAATGAAATGAAAGAACAGATTCTGAGGACAAGAAGTGTGTTTAAGAACAGAATGGACTGCAGCTATAGATCCTCTTAAGTAGTCCCAGTCAATGGTCATGGCAATATGAACAAGTGATGGGTCACATACCAATTGCACATTGTTTGTGTCAATTACAGTGCACCTTTGTTGATTTCTGTATTCTGGGGCCTCTCTGAATTGCATAAAGGAATCAACTTTAACCTCATTTTCATAGCCCTTGTGTGTGATCTTGTTGGCAAAAGATCTAATAGCATTGGCTGGAAAGAGAAGAAGACAAGCTGAAAAGACAACCCCAAAAAGAATTGATCTTGAAAGAAACATCACAATCTTTCAATCTAGATCAAAAACAGATTGATTAACAGAACAAAAAGAGATAAGAAAAGGGAAGATGAGAGATATTTGATTCAACAAGGCAATGAAAAAGACCAAGTTTATATAAATGGAATACAGAAACGGAAACGCGTTTGTTATCATGTTACGATGTCATGTTGTAACTTGGAACCTTCAAGGGCTTTGGTTGGGAATTAGTTTCTAGGAACCTTCTCTTATTTTATTTTTATTATTTATTATTTATTATTTTGTGTGTGTTTCTACCTACGTGCCTTTGAATTATTCTTTGACTAAAAAGATGAAGAAAAATGTTCATTTAACCTAGGATGCTTAAACGATTCCACTTTCCTTTAAGTTAGCAGTACATTGAAGACGGATGCACCATTGTGACCACGTGCTTTGAATTTTTCTTAATTGAATTCATGTTTAATTAATAGTCCTTGGGTGGCTACACTCTACGAACACGTCTAAGTTTAGTATTATTTTTAATAATTTAATTAGGCATCACCATTTCTCTATTAGAAAATGCTAGCCACGTATACTTGTTCGTATTCTTTTTATTATTAGATGAAATTTGATGTTAAGTATTAGATTTCTCTCTTTCCTAGTTTTTTTTTTTTTTTTGAGTTACCCAACCCTAATTACCTCTTTGAGACGAGTTGGCTCCCTTCGGTATCCCCACAAGCTTCGACTCTTTGAGCCGGCTACGAGACTAATCCGGAGTGCGGGGTCAGTGATGGCTAAAGGTTCAGCCCCCTCCTCAAGAATGCATTCAGCGGGAATCGAACACATGTCCAACCCCACTAACTCAGCACCAAGGAACCAACTGAGCTGCTCCCATTGGGTATTTTCTTTTCTTTTCTAGGAAGATTTAAAGTAAACTTGCTTTTAAAGTGAGTAAATATGTATCTTTGAATTTTAAAGGGTTAAGGTTATGATTTTTTTTTTAAAGTTAAATCAACGGTAGATATATCCTTAACAAACTCAATTTAGAAAAACATTTTCCTTTATCATGTTAGATTGTTAGGGGAATAGGTTTGTTATGTTACAGAAAAGAGAAATATTTTTCCTACACTAACAAAAAAATATAGGCCTATTACAGTTTCAAAAAACAATACGTTGACAGCTATGATTTTTGTATGTGCACGATGGAGGAAATTTGTTCTATAACAGCACCAATTCAATCCCCATCATGTTATACATGTATCAAAGTTCAGTTATTTTATATTATTAAAATTATATAGTGATATATCATAATTCTTTACTCATATCAAATTTAACAACTAAAAAAAGTATACTTTTTAAAAAATTTCTTTAAATATATTTCGCCTGCCATTGTCATATTTTGTTCAACATTTTAATGGATTCTAATTTATAACTACTTTTAATGAAACCGCACGTGAATCTCTCGACACATGTCGCAAGGTTACTGAATCAAACTAACAACATTCTTTTAAATATGTTCCATGTTGAAAAGAAAACACAAGATGCAAAAAGGGTAAGTAAGTTATACAATTGTTGTTAAAAATTAACGTAAAAATATAAAAATTTACGTTTTTATATTCGTATTGAAATGATACGTATTTAAATGTAAGTGAAAATTCTCCTCAATAAATTCTGGTAAAAACATAGAAGTGGTAGAAACACACGTGTCTACATTTTTTATTTAAACCAAAAAACAAAACCGGGTTAACTTTTAACCTATGACCCAGTTATATTTAAAAAAAAAAAAACTATTTCTATTTCCCCCAAATCAAAATACACATTATCTACTTCTAGCTATTTGGAAGAAAAAAAACCTTGCATGAGGTTGCTATTGTAGAGAAAGAAGAGGGTGAAACCACTAGTGAAAATTTTGAGTATCAAGCTGAGGTGAGTTTTGAATTAATCTATTACATTTTATTGCAAATGAACTTGTTATAAGAGTAAGAAAAAAGGACATGTAACGAATGCAAGATGATGTGTTTGATTTGAATCAATTGATATAATTTAAGAGTTGTTAAACTTTATTCTTTTGATGTTTTGGAACTTGATTGTAGGAGTTGTTAAACTCTTTTTGTGTTTTTAGATTTATGTCTTATATAGTTAGTAACTTATTTCTTTTAAATATAAAGTTTTTCATTGAATTTTGAATAATTACTCATGTGATATATATATATATATATATATATATATATATATATATATATATATATATATATATATATGGGTTAGGATCATTTTACACCAGTATAAGTTACACTCTCAATCTTGATCATTGATCGCATTTATATCTAAGGGCTCTAATTTTTTAGTAATGTGAGTCATTGGATACAAGTGAATCAATGCTCAAAATTGAGTGTAAGACTTCTAATTCTTACACTAGTGTAAGAATATCCTGCCCCTATATATATATAGTTAAGTGGATGTCATGTGACTTGACCTAAGGATTTGTCAAGTTACACTATGTACTATCCACAGTACATAGTTGATTTCTGAAATACACTATGTACTACCTGTAGTATATAATATAACTTGACCAATCCTTAGGTAAAGTCACATGACAAATTATTTTGCCATATATATACAGGGGTTTATATTTCTCTAGCCGTTTGACGTCCAACAGTCAATTATTTACCATATATAGATGACAATATTAAATATGGAGAATTATAACCATACAAAAGGTGAAAATATTAAATATGAGGAATCATAACCATACACTTGTCATTGCTGGACGCCTGGATGTCAAGCGGCTAGAGAAATGATTTTACCGTAGAGATGTATATATATAATTTTATATCTTGACTTTAATTGATAGAAACTTTATGTTTCGTATCGTTTTTACGATTTATGTTTTTAACATCCCCTTCCGTTTCTAGAAACTCGATTTTATTGAGTGATACTACATTACAAGCAGGATGAGTTGTCTAAAAATATTGACAATATTTGAAATTTACTCAAAGCAATTAAGCAGTCCCTAGATCATAAACTCGTTTAGATGAACTTTTTTTTTTCTTTAAAAGCTACTTTTTTTAAAGAAAAAAAGCACTTTTCGTTTTTAGTTCGTTTAGATGTCTGCTTTTAAAAAAAGGAGAAGTCACAAAAAGTCAAAAATCTACTTTTTCAGAAGCTAAAAATTTTAACTTCTCAGAAAAGCAGAAGTCAAAAGCCAAATATTTTTTTCAAAAACTAAATATTTTTATAAAAATATAAATAGCTTTAACTTTTGTAAAAAATACTTTTAAAATAAGAAAATGATAAAAGTTACTTTTTTTCAAAAACTGAAACAAACGAGCTCAAAATGTTTGAGTATTTAACATAAAAATCTTTACATAGAGACAGAAATAGACTATTCTGAAATGATAGTTTGGAGGGTCACCTTTAAAGAAAATAAAAGAAAAGTAGATATAAACTCTTTTAATTTTAGAAAAATTGAAGGGTGGCATTGGGCATTGGCATAGTACTTATATGTGTGCATTTTAATAATGTATATTGATACATAACACTATGCATGCCTTCAACTTCAAGTACTATATTATGCTTCCTTGCCTCTGTCCAATACAATGAAACGCGTTATCTAGAATTCAAGCATATGGCACAAAAAGCGTCCACAGTCGAAGTATCACTGTCAACGATGTAAAGAACTTCATTGTATGTCCCACGTATCTTACGTAGATTTTGGTGTGTTCTGTCACATTATTATTATTTTATTTTTTTGGTAAATATCTGTCACATTATTTTGTATAAAATGAAAATTGTTTGTTGCACACTTTAAAGTTAAAAAGTATGGACCTCAATTTAATGGGTGAAAACAAAGCCATTATTAAACTAACGTGTTTGACAAAAATAAAAATAATTGGAGTATGAACTTTTGGTCTCAAACCATAGTTATGTTAGGTCTGAAAACGTAAGTTGTTAACTATAATCCACAACCACATAAGTGTTTTTATTATTTTTATTGTTTTTTTAACATATGATACTAATATTTAATATAGAGAAATAATTGACTAATTTGTGTTCGATCTGAAATGAAATTATTCTTACAAAAATTTGGTATCACTAAAATTATAACTCTTGACTTATGCATATTTTATTCTGAAAAAATGTTAGTTGATGCAATTAAGATTAAACATATTTAATTTAATTTAATTCATATCTTGTAGTGCATACAAATTGTATAAATGGTGTGCACTACTCAGTGGTTAATACATAATACATGTCATAATAATTTATTTTGAGAATGGATACTTTTATGTTTAAATTTCACATAATATGATTATCTTAAAATTATGTTTGTATCTCTATTTACAAGTATTAAATAGATAGCATCGTATCGAATATTCATCAAGAGAAGAGCTTAATATAATTTTTTTCCAGGTAATCAATGTAAGATTAACACATAATTATTATATGAAATTAAATTTACACATTAGTACACCACCATTATATACATAGGTTGGGTGCAAACTTACTTCAGGTCGAGGAAGACTAAGCACTGGGTCAACATCTGACTCCTCCTATAATAAAGAATATAAACAATGACTAACTCCCCACCGAAATTCTCTGACTAAACAAAATGTTGGTCCCCACCAAATAGGTTTTTCTATACATATTTTTTTGGCCACAAGAAGGGAATTTTTTAATATGCTTCCGGATCACCGTGATCTTTTCACTCAAAAATTGACACTTGTATTATTTCTTTTTTCTTTTCAACTTTTTCTCTCACTTCAGTCCCACCCAACTCTTTGTGGTCTCGGACTACTATAAATTCACTCCACAAAAAGAGTTGTTGCTAATGTTGTGTATAGAATATAAAATGTTTACCCCCTCCTAAAATACACACTAAATGAATATATACTTCAGTTTTTTCCTTACTTCATAGATAAGAATTAGCACCATGGATAATCTATGGCATGGTGGAAGGATAAACATGAATGGACATGTAGAAGCATAAAATTTTATACAAGTTTAGTTTCTTTGGACACAAAAATATAAGTATATGGAAAATA